GAAGTTACTTCGGCCGGCGACCTAACACTGTAGGCTAGTCGCCACGGCGGGTAAGGCCTTAGAAGGAGTGTGATTTCCTTGGCCCCAACCGTCCGTGGGGCCCCCCGCGTGGCTGCGCCCGCTGTGGTGCCTCGGTGGGTCGGAGCCCGGGAACTCCTGAAAGCCCACGGTGCCTGGCTTGCCTTGTCCGTGGGGGAGTAAAGGGCTTGGAGTGCCCTCATGGGGCCAGAGGCATAGGGGTAACCCGAGCCGCAGCGGGTCCGGGGATCAACCTAAAAACATGGCCCATGTTGTTTTTAAATTTATCTAATTAGTTGAAAATATGTTAAAAAACTTTAAGGCCATGGGTTGCAAGATGTCTCTGAAAGTGCATATGCTACATGCTCATTTAGATAAATTTAAAAACAACATGGGAGCGTACTCAGAAGAACAAGGAGAACGTTTTCATCAAGACGTTATGGACTTCGAACGCCGTTATTAAGGCCAATACAATGAAAATATGATGGGAGACTATATTTGGGGTTTAATAGAAGAAAGTACTCATGAACATAAAAAAAGAGTAATAGGGTTCACTTTTGTTTCGTACGACACCTAAGGAGGCCTCAGGGCACGAGAGATACCGGCACCGCCCTGACAAGGGCGCGAGGCGTTAGGATGATCTCGTGGAGGAGTGGACTGCGGTTGAGTAAACTGACACTGAGTTGGTTTAACTGTCACTTTAATTTACAACAAAAATGAGCTTGCGGGGCGGACGGCGATAGGTCGCACTGGTTATTATTCGCGTCGAAACTTCGCGCTATGCTGGCCCTTGCTCGGGCGCTCGGCGTGCGGTAGTGAGACCGAACCGTTGGCGCGATAATTGTTTTACGACGATAACTGAGAGCGACCGATTTCTTGTACGGCTGAACAGATTGTGCTCTTGAGGATCGCTCGCATTCGCCCTTTTTTCTGACTCCGCTTCGTAGCAAGGGTTTCGATGATCCGTGAACATTAAGTAAACGCGTGCGCGCTTTCTCTTGAGCGTGTCGGGAAAGCGGGATCATTGGGCCGTGTTTTGGGAGGATCGCGTCGATCACGATGGTCGCGCGTGGCTGCGCCAGGACCGCGTTCGCGGAAACACTGCTCAATGCTCTCGCTTTTCACTCGATCCTTAACAACTTTTGAACTTTTTTCCATTATTTTGTAAGCTAATATAATAGTTAAAGTTAATGAAAATAATATACAAGTATATTTGTTTTGGTTTTTTAACAGATAAAAATTAAAATCATAGATTTTTTAAAATATCGTACAAACGTTTTCCTGGCTACAAAAGCAAATTTTTTTATGAAATATAAATTTTTTTCGGATAACTGTCGATAAACCTATCGTAATTGCATACCCTAATTTCAAACGCAAAATTCATGTTGACTTGTGTTATCATTACTTCGTCCTCCGACGACCAAGACGTTAATTGTCATGAAGAACGTCCTCTTTCGCGAGAAAGAGAAACAAGAGAAACATCCCTTGTTCTTCCTTCTCCCGCTGTACCATCGTCATCACCCGAGTTACCGTGATTTTCTCCCCGGAGGGTCGAGGATACATCGATCGCCTCTATACCGATGTGGAGATTCTCACCGCCGCCCACACCACCCTCACCGACGACAACACCTCCACTGACTGGGATCGTCGAAATAAGAGACTCGACACCAAGGCCCCCCTTCAAGACGACGCAGCACGAGGCTGTTAAAAAAAAAAACAGTCAAAAAAAAAAGCAGCGGCAAACAAAATATTGACAATCGATACCGGTGACGAGATCGTCGAAAAATTCCCAAAAACGCGCGTAACGGCGTATGATTTTATGCGACAAAACGACTTACTTATATTGCGACATGCGTTAAGGACGTGCAGCGTGCATAATCTTTACTCGTGGAAAACACTAAAAGAATAGGTTGCAAAGTTTACGCCCTCTCAAATGCGTTTTGTACCGATAATTGACTCGCGGAATACACACAGAGGATTTCGGAACAAAATACCGAAACTTACTGAATCAACCTAAAGAATTGGTTCGCGCTCAATATCGACATTAATCGCGTGCTCGTACGCGACGTGTACATAGTGTAGGGTTGTGTGGGGTGATGTGCAACACTTTTTTTCGTTGCTCGGAAAACATATCCAAAAATCAAATTCTTGAATATATCATGGCTGTATAATGTAGAAGAAGAAAAATACTAAAATTCTGCGTGATTAGATTTTCAAAATTTTAAATTTTTCCTGAAAGTTTTTCGAGTTTTCAAAAAAACGTATGTTTTAGCATTTTTAAATTTTCTTGAGGTGATGTGCAACACAGGTAAAATTAAGGTAAAAAATGCATGAATATTGACATCAATCGACTTAAATATTAAATTTGGGATTTTTAAATACAAATTAATCGAAATCTGGTGAACAAAAAATTTCACTGTGTTGTAATCGACCTCTGACAAATAGAAATTTCACAAAATAAATCATTTTTTATTTGATTTCTTATTTATTTATCGCTTAAAAATTAATATAATGAAAGGAAAAACGCAAAAAACTTTATTTTTTATCATCTGAATCGCAGTTGTCACAAGTAAAATAGTTGCGACCTTGCATGTTGACACAGTGTTGCACATCACCCCAAACACGCTATTTTACACGGACTGGCGTGACACCAACACAATGTAAGGATATCACAAAATCGCTTTGGATTATCAAAAGCACTTGAAAAACTAACAATATAAAAATATTTATCTATAAGATGGTTAAAACCAATTCACGAAATCACTATGAATGTGAAAAGCAAAAAAAACTTTCAGCTCGAGAAATTTAACTCGCTTTTCGTACAGCAAACCAGGGTGCGTGCTATCTCGCGAGTTATTTATCTAAAACAAGGTACTGTCGACACAAACACATGGCAGTATGCGGTTCTGTCAAAGGTCGACATGCAGACCAGGAATCGGAAACGTTGCACATCACCCCTCACAACCCTATATAAAGTATAAAAACTCGAAAAAAACTAAAAACAACAAAAATTTAAATAGAAAATGCACAGTGTGTGCATGTGCGTGTGTACGCGAGCGCGTGTGTGTGAATGTGTGAACAAATAATTTGACTCTTCAAAGACCGACCCCACCTTTTTTTTTACATGGTGGCAATCTTTGTCCACTGGGACACGATCGGGGAGCGCCGCGGCAACCGGTCACGGCCCGAGGGCCGATCGGGGCGCCGCGGCAACCAGTCACGCACTCAGTGCCCCCTCCCCCCTAATCGGGGAAAAGACCCCCCACCCTCTAAAAAGGGCGGGGGAGTGCCGGATTCTATGCACGTGCATCGCGGTAGATACCACGTGCATAGCCTACCGGCTAAAACCACCATAAATCCCTCTCGGCAGTTATCGAAGGGGCCCCGGGAATTGCAAAAGCATAACGTCCATGGGCTCCTTCCCACCAGTAACCTACCCGGGGGGAGAGACGGAATCGGAGAGCGCCAAAGCAACTAATCACCCGTTTCCCCCCCTCTCGCAAGAGCGAGCAAGACTAATTTGTGACGCATTGAAAAGAATTAGTTCCAATACGCCGGCCCGGACCTCCCGCCCGCGAGAGGACAGGGCTCAGGAAAATAAATCACCCACCATACTCCTCCCGCAAGCCAGGGGCCCTGCCAAGTAAACCCCGACTCCTCGTCGCCGATCACCTCCTCCTTGCGGGTTTCTATCTCGCTTGATTGATTGGGGGAGAGGAGGAACCCCCGCATTTGCGGTGGCCCTTGTCCCCCGCCCACGCCCTTCAGTCCAATGTGACGCCTCCTCCCCCTCCGTATGAACTTGAGAGGGAGAAGAAGGACGGGAAGGGATGGGGAGAAACGACTCGCGCGTCGGCACGAGCCTCCTCCCGCCCCCGTTGTCTTACTCCTTTGCCACTACTACGGGGACACCGAGTCGCCGCCGCGACCTAACTTGTGGACAACCGCATTCACGGCCGCGGCCCGGCGCCCCGTCCTTTTCCTCGCTGTCTGCGTCCAGGGGGGGCTTCTCTCTCCTATTCTTTCGCTCGCCTTCTTTTGCGACATCACTGTGCCGCAGAAGAAGACGAACGCCCTTCACGCTTCATCGCTTTCTCTCTCCCTCCCCCCCCTCGACCGTCCTAGCAAGGACGGCCGGGAAGGAGAGATCCTTCTCTACTGCTTGCCGGAGGACACGGCGCTCGCGTTCCCACGCTGGACAAAACTCCAGCGTGTGCTGCTCCGTGTCCGCCTCCTCCGGACAATGGTGGCACTACGCGGTGCGCTCCTTCCCGATGCGGCACAGACAGTATTCGAAACACCCGTGATTTGTAATTATCTGTGCCGCGTGGAACATTAGACCTCTTTTCCTATGTTCCACCCACCCCTCAAGTATCGGCTGGACGGCTTCGCGGGCCCTCCTCCCCCATTGAAGGTTGGGGTTTTCGAGGAACTTTCCCCACTTCCGGAGGAGAGTTTTTTTTGGCTTCCCTCACGGAAAAAAACTATTGGAATGCTAATAGTAACTATTGAAATGATAATAGTAACTATTGAATGCCAATAATTATAAGCAGTGATTACTACTGCAATGCTTACTGTAATACTGGTAATAAGTAGTGTCCACTACGCAATTATTACTATTGACCAGTGTAAATTATTAGAATGTAATAGTAGATACTACTGCCACTAGTGCAGACAATTAACAGTGTCACTGTTATACTAATCATTCAACAGTGCGGACTAATAGTGTGCAGAAGTTTGCAATATTAAACCAAATAGTGCACATTCTGTATGGTGCACACAGTTAGGCATTTCTTCAGCGTTTAATAGTGTATACTCTTCAGTACATACTGTTGTCTATCACTGCTGAATAGTATTGTTATAGATACCATATATTGTACCCTAGTGAGAATACTACTATAATAATGAGTACTGAATTGTATATTTTAATGTAACGTGACAGAATCGTATTAAAAATAGAAGGAGGCTAAAGAAAGTTGATGTAAAAATAAACTTATATATTATCTATTTATTTCACTAAATAGTTGCATCAGTTACACAATATTGATATATATTAATCACGTTCAATATTATTTACGAGGCGGACAATGCAATACTTATCAATATCGTATGGAATCTTTACACATTTGGAATTTAACATGTCAGGAAAGACAGCGACGACAGAATCAGTCATGCGAGTAATGTGAAAAAAACGATTCGATGAAAGTGTTGGATTGTTCGTTTTACAAATTTCAACGTCAACACGGTTAAGAATCTTTCCAATAATAACGTATCGTACATAATTGTTTGGCACAGTACGGACACCAAAAATCCCGGATATTATTATAAACATACCATTGTGCAGTAATACTGTACTATTTTGTCGCTTTTGAAATTTTTCATAGTTCTCGGCATGCCACAACACGTTTCGAAAAATAAAACGCTTGTAACAGACACTCTCGTTTAGAATACTTTCATGTAAAAGAGTTTCTATACAAGTCTGCTCCATTAACGTTAACGTCCTTTGAACTGGTTTTCCAAATATTTTCAAATAAGGCCCGTACTCTAGATAATTTTTCGTATGATATGTTCCACTTATTTTATCATATAAAATTTTAGCATTTTTGAAACAATCGGGTCTCGAAAATACCTCTAAGCATAAACTTTCAACGCGCTTTGATCTCATATATAATTTGCATATCTGTTCCGGAACGGCTTGCGAATTCCGAAACATTTTCCTTAGTACTCCATTATAGTGTTCATAGGGAAAAGTAGATGTAGCCCACAAAGCCCCGAACTGTTTAACAAACTCCGGGATATGTAACAACAAATGTACATTAAACTTGTAATATTCTAAGCCATATAAGTCTTCTATTTTAAGCACGAACATTTCCAATGCTCTTGTAGCTGTCAAAACATCTACGTCACTAATTTTTTCTTGTAGAAATATGTGCATACTAAAGACAAAAAGGAACCAATGTTTCACATATTGTAAGGGCATTACATTTTGTAAACAAATAAGAGAGTAGTAGAGCAAGAAGTGCTTCCATTCTGATGCCTTCCATAGATTTCTTTCACTGATAGATCTGGGCGTACGAGTAATCTCACACGGTGGTTTTATTTGCAGAAGTTTCTTATCAATAAGATCTACTTTGTTTCCTATATACCAGTCTTTTTCGTGATTTGACGAATGAAACCAAGCATCCGCAAAAGTTTTTGCCACTCCCAATAAACCATTATGCAGATAATCAAGTGTAAACGAAGACGTAATGTCAAAAACCGGTAGCAACATTAAAACCGATGGCCCTTTCACACCGTGAGGTGTAGTTCGAGTTTGCATAGCAATTTCACAATCTACTTCATGTTGACGCAATGTGCGCGGTTCTTTTACGCAACCGGGATATACTCTTGTCATTCCTCTACCGACTTCAACGTGTATACCTTCATGCAAGCAAAAGCTGCAGCCAAAGCTCCCGTTATACTGTTTTATGTTTTGTAATAAAGGCCGCGCGACAGAATCTACAGGACACGCGATTGTATGTACTCTGATACGAATTTCTTCTTCGCCTGCCACGTTACGCGTAATACCTACTTTATGCATAAAAGTCAATTCCTCAACGAGTAAAGATAAAAATAAATTCATGTCAGGTTTTTCTTTACCATACCACAGACCACATAACATCATATTTTTTCTCCTTTCTCTATACGGCAATTCATTTATCATTACCTGTATAGGCCACATAGATACAAACGATGAACGAAACACTTGAACGCCGTCAGTATTGATCTGCAGCGTGATATCATGTAATTGAATTATCCCAGTATTTTTTAAAGATGTATAAAACTTTCCAGAAGTTATATCAGAGCAATTATTGTTTTCTTTTTGAAGCATAGAGTATTTGTTGCTGTTTACAAAGTCGCGCAATTGCTGCTTTAAAGGCAAATATAGGAAATAATTACCGCTTTTTTCCAATGCATGTTTGTTATATCTACATTGGCACTCTCGACAAACAAGGTTTTCTTTTGTTCTATCATCTGCAGCAAGCGTTTTCAATTTTACATAACACTCTGAACAATAATAGCATTTACAGATTGACGCTGGAGTATCATACTTCTTCATAAATATGTGCTTCGTATGGTATACTGAGTATGGTAAGTGACAGTTTATCAAAGTGATGAGGTCTTCAAGAGCAACATCGGCCAGACTGTGCCGTATAGCAAAGTTTAATATGAGGAGTTCACTTTCTGTCTTGGATATATTCGATCCTTCATATAATGGGACTCGTTCCTGTAAATTAAGTAGAGATTATTATTTTTACATTCAAAAAGTTATTCTCAGATATGGGTAATTAAAACCTACAGCGTACGTGATAGATTTCATATGGATTAGATAAAATATGGATGTACATATCCTAACATCTTTCGATGCAAAATATGCTACATATTTGTGGCAAATTTCTCTTTGGCTGCAAAGTTTGCATCAGAAAATCTCAATTTACTCGAATCGATTAAAATACCTGATTATTGTCCTCTGGTGGAACAAAATTTGCATACCCTGCAGGCTCTAAGAATTCTTCATAGTCTTGAAACACATTTTCCAAATCCGATGCGTCATCATTAGCTACAACATCAGACACGCTTCGTCTTTCGTTTCCAGCTGAACTGTTTGAACTATCTGATATTGATGCAGTATCAGAGTCAGCTCTATTAACTACAGAGATGTCATCCATACTTGCATCCTATATAACAAAATACAAATTACGTTGTCAAGAATGTTAGTAAAAGTATTCCCAGTGAAAACAACCTAGTCAAAATAATGTTAAAGTGATATAAAATTGATAAGGAGTATGATGTCAAAATTTGATAAAAATGACGGCAAAATGATCGCAATATGATTGCATAACGTCCCATACCATGATGGTGATTTTGACTGTTATTTTAACGTCTGTTTTTTATGTCAAGATGACAGTCACCCTGTATAGGAATATAAATGCACAAATAAAACTAAATTATATAGAATAAGTTTCTGGTACGACGTCATATTGACATCATTTTTACTTTAGGCTGTTTTCACTGGGTTGTGTTTTCAACGTGTCTTGAAATTTATTATTAGTTCTCGCGAGAGCGTATACTATTTTCAAAAACGGAGCAACTTTTTCTGTGTCAAAATTTCAATATCTAAGTAAGCAAAGTTTAATCAGAATTTCATTTTGGATGATTGCTGTAGTACAAACACAACATTCTTCTCGAAGTCAGGATATCCTATTTTATATTTTGAGCAAAAAAATCGTATTTTGTCCATTATAACTAATAATTTCAGAGCTGTGTATTTTCATAATCTCCTGCTCCTCCGAAATAGCTTATTTACAAAACCGTCAGTCATACAAAATAAAATAATATAAAAACGATTTTTTTAAATAAAAAATAGTAAAATAAGTTAGTTTGTATTTGCCAAACATACTGAGCTTTCATCCAAAATAATTGATTCAATGATTACACTCACTGTATCATTATTTTCTGGATTGCCAGGTGATATTGGACCATCGATATTTTGATCACTATCTTCCGACATGTCTTCAGCAGCAGTGGGCTGTTGGTTGTCATTGGAACTCACAGATGGTTGTCCCGATATCACAGAAATATCGTCGACATCCATTTCTTGTTCCTAATTAAATAAGTACGCTTTAATTGCAAATGAGGACTTAAAGATTGTTTTATAATAAAAATATGAATATTTATGGAAAAGGGGTATCTTCTTTTATAATATAATATTTTTAAAATACAATAAGAAATTCAATATCAAAGAGAAAGGAATTATACGTATACATATATATATGGTTATAGATTTACCTGTTGTAATAGCACCTGTTCTCGTTGTCTACGGGAACGGATTGTTGACTCAGGTATTGATAAAAGATCACCGTCTTGTAAATATCGTTTATAACACCCTCTTCTAGTCAATGTATTTTCGTTATCCACATTCATTTTGATAAATCTGAAGAATAGTGGCCTCCTCACCGATTTCGTTGAACTTAGGTTTAATCGACGCGTTTTTGCGTAAAACGAAAGAATCTGGCAGAAAAAAGTGTCGCTCTGCCCCGCGAAGCGAGATATTAAACGTTAAAGTTAACAGAAATCAGGTTATAATTCCTGTCATACCGACGAGCTGTAGCGATCCCGCCCAAGCACACCAGCGTTTTTCTCCCTCCACTACGCACACAAAAACGTTCTCGTCTGTCCGTAGTGTCCATGTGACGACGCGCGTTCGGCTAAGTTCGGGTACGCCGAGCGCGCGTCACACGGACAAACTCCCGCGCTTTGTGTACGTAGTGGAGGGGGTAAAACGTTCGTGTGCTCGGACTCGGTATCGCAATTCGTACGAGAAAGGCAGCTAGAACGGCCTCATTCTGGTATCGCTGCCACTGGCGATTTTATTTGAACAGCACATTCGTTTTCCGTAGGATCTATAGTACATCGACGAACATTTGTGTGTGTTTTTCAGCTTACATCGAGTTTGCCTTAAGTAAGTAATAAATCCTTGATGTAATTTAATACGTTTAGGACGTACGATATAAATGTGTAGAACGGGTTATTTTCTGAACGTCTGTGGATAGTCAAAAGTACGATCGTGCGTGACCTTTTCAGTTTCTTCCTCACATATTCGAGATAGAAACTATGATTTAATAAATGCAACCATCATAGACATTCCAAAGTAAATTAACCTAAATTGCGTTTAATCAAAACAGTTATTTCAAGTATTTTAATGTGTTATTGTATTTCTGTATATACATTGCAACTGCATTTCAGTATTAGCTACGAACTGGCTGCGAGTATGTTGTGTCTGTCAAACGTATGCAGTTCAATATAGACATGATAATGCTGTCAGTATACTCGCAGCTAGTATTGAAACGCTCCTGTATTTTGCTTTTACAGACAATGGACCACGAAAAATATATGGTGTGCGAGTTTCCAAATGAAGAAGATAGTATATCTATTGGATATTTGGAATGGCTGGAAGATAAATTTAAAATTACTGAATTAGATGATATAATTGAACGTGGGACGATAGTGAAAGTTCGATGGCCAAAAAACTGTGATGTAGGCCCACTAACAGCAACAATGAAAAAAAAATTGGCCAATTGTCAGTGGGAAAAGGTTGTAACAAAATTACGGGCATATGGAGGTAAGCAACGATATTGAATAATAAAGAACTAATCGATGCGGCAATATCGGTTTCTTAATGTGCATAGCAGATAGTTGAATTGAGTTTTGTGTAATTGCATCTATACTGCAGTTTACAAAAAAAATACGAAGTGATGAAAACTTTAAAATACCTCATTGTTATTAGAATTAACTACTAAGATATCCCATAGCAAAATGGCTATAATTATGATTCTAACATGCATTATTTTTTTTTGTTTTATCGAATAATGTCTATAAAAAATTCCTAATTTTAGTACATTATGGTCGGTGTTTACAGTACAATTTTCCATACCATTGAACTAAATCTTTATGCAGCATTTTTAAAGTTTTATCTCCAAAGAGGAGTCTTAATTGTCAAACAATTGGCAATCATTTTCAATTTAAGTAAATATAAATATAAGTTTATATAAAATTTTAGATGACAAAATGCTTTATTAAAATTTTAGGATGGATCAAAATGCGCGAAATCAGAGACAATTTGGAAAAGTATGGTGTCACTGAACTTGATAAACATGATAGGAAACAGTTCACAAAAAGGCAAACAACAGAGAGTGACAGCGACGAATCGGAAGTAAAAGGAACAAAAAAAAGTGCGCTAACAAAGTCGAAACAAAAGGTTTATAATGACATATATTTTACATAACTAAATATGAATCATAATTTAAAATATTGCATGCTAAAAATAAATTTGCTATTGAATGAGTAATGCTTTTTTATTTATAGAAATGTACTTTAAACGAGAAAAAGGGGAAAGAACTTTTAAAACAGTACAAACATAACAAGCAGAAATACTCGTCACAGGTAATTTTCTTAAATCTATATATATCTCTATTTAATGTTCTTCAGATTTTTTTGTTAAAACGTGACAAAACTTTGAGATATAAATTTATACTATTATAGAGTAAATCTGTGGATGACGAATGTGATACAGATAACGAAAAATCTCCCGTTCAATTAAAGTCACAACTAACAATCATTGAATTAAATGAAGAAAACAAGAAGTTGCAAAGAGACAACAAAAGACTACGCACGTTACGATCTGTCAACGAAGGTATTCTTGTTGAATATTTTTCTCTCTGTAACAGTTCTTAGCCGGTTGAGTAATTTTTACTAATGGTTAAAATAGGTTCGGAGTATCTCACTGTTTTTACTACTTCTTGTATAGCTCAAATTATACACTATCAGATCAAATGGACTTCAATTTTTATCTGAATAATTTTTTTAAATTATTGTCGAATTATTTTATTTTATAATACCTGCAACTCACCATATAAATATAGGTAGAGTTCTAAACAGCGAATACGAAATGTTAATCACAAATTCCTTCACAAATATGCTATCTTTATATGCTACTTTTTTAAACGTTTTTTGGTATATATATATCCTGAAGCAATAAAAACACTGAAAACAATAATTTGTTAACTTTAAATGGCTCAATCCATTTAAGATTATCCTTTTAATAAGCCGAGGATTTCTTTTGATAAGCAATCCTTTTAATGAGATCCTTGGTTACCGTTATTAATTTTTTAGATTTGCCAAAGATGGAAAAAATGGTAAAAGATCTCACGGTTAATTTGCAATCTGCATCAAAGAAAATCGAGTCTCTCATTGATCAAATAGATAAGCTGGAAGAGGTATATATAATTTTGATTTACATTGGCATTACATCGAATATTTGTAAATAGTATGAAACAATGTGCTAATTATATGCTCATTTGTTTTGTAGAAAATACAAGCAATAAATAACTGCATTATTGAACGTGAACGAGGTTACACTCTTCCAGCAATGACATTAGACTCTGATCCGTTCTGCATCAGCAAATTGAATCTACCAAACAATAAATTGGAATCGTCTGCAACCGATGCATCGCCAGCATCGATAATGCAAAATAAGGAGTTAAATCTACCAAGCGATAAGTTGAAATCGTCTCAAAGATCGGTTACAGAGTTTTGTGAACCAGCATCACATGAGTCGACACCTCTGACATTCGGACATAATTTAGTACCACAAAATTCCAACCCAGAATCATTGCTGGAAGACTTCCCTGATACTCCAGACGTCGCGATAAAAGTAGTCAACACACGTGAATTGGAACATGTACATGAATCGAACCATGCAGCAGATACAGCAAAGTCTTCGAATGATCATCAATCAATCGCAATACACAAGCCTAAGGTTAAAATCATTATATATTTTAATTACAATGCTATTTAAAATAGAAATTAATATTTTTGGAGTTTTGATTTTCAAGTGTAGTTATAGATGTTGGTTTGGTTTTCAATTCTCACCTAATACAATTTTATGAATATGAATATCGTTACATTTAATAATTATCTAAAAATGTTATCATATTTTATACAAAATATTTAACACAGGAACAGACAGTCGACCTTGGAGGGCCAGAACCTTGTATAGTGAATGCCATTCGCCTTTCCTTGTGCAATCACACATCTGTCTCTAAGTTGATATGCGAGATGATGTCTTTGCTATTTTCAAAAGAAGAGTTAGCTACCTCTTCGCTTACAGGAACTGTGGCAAATTTTCATTGCGAAAAAGGTATAGCCGCTAAAAAGAAACTCGACACGGTGAAAATTGAAGCTATGAAAGGTATGACTATAATTTGTGCAACAGTATTGATTTCATATAGTTGTAGTTTGAAAACTGATAAATATACGTGCTTTAGCATACGTTAAGAAGAAATTTCCAACAGAAAAAGATTTCGACAAGATGTTCCGCAAAGCAGTGCAGCAGAAGTGCAATAATGCAGTTCCTCGAAATAGAGGACTAAATAATAAAGGAGAAACCAATTAAGTAAGATTAAATAAGGAACCAACGTAAAGGCGAAGAACCTAAACAATGCAGGATTAAGCGTCGTAAATAGATTGAGTAGAATAACGATTATTTTCCACGATTGTTTTTTAATAATTGAGATCAATACAACTACAATACAAATAGTCAGATTGTTGTATTATTATTTGTATTTGATCATGCGAATAAAAGTACAACTAACAATTAATGTCACAGTGTTTTGCTTTATTTCTATAAAAATATATATATATATATATATACTAGTTGCCAGTCCACTAGTTTTCACTAAAATTGAGACTAGTGCATTTTTTCTAAATAACGACGTGAATAAAAATAGACCTAGCTGCACAGTTTTTTTTAATAAGAACGAGATATATATACATATATATATACATATATATATCTCGTTCTTATTAAAAACTGTGCAGCTAGGTCTATTTTTATTCACGTCGTTATTTAGAAAAAATGCACTAGTCTCAATTTTAGTGGAAACTAGTGGACTGGCAACTAGTAAACTAATGGTCCATTATTGCGCACACTTGAGGATCACTATTAGATCGATAACTACTAGTGCGGACGTAACACTACTAGTGCGAATTCCAACAGTGCGCGAAATTACTATTGAGTAGTGTGCACTAATAGTTACGAATAGTTGTCAATTCAATAGTTACTACAAGTTTTTTTCCGTGAGGGTTGGAGCTTCAGCTCCCTGCTTGCCCTCGGTGGGACTCCCCTCAGTCTTGCTCGAATTTTCTTGAGCGATTCGTACCTGGCGGCGTATGACTCGGCGACGAGGTTCACCGGGGTAATCCCGGCGAGGGCAGTCGCCCCCACATGCGAGACGGTCCGATAGGCCCTGGCGGCCCGATTAGCGATTATCCGCTGGGCCGCCGCCATCTGCCTGCTAAGGCGGGCACCGCCCCTCCTTAGCCCACCATATCGGTGCTGCGTATAGCAGCACCGAGTGGACCGTCGCCGAGTAGAGGCGACGCACGCCGCCGCTGGCCTCACCAATATTTGACAGTAGCCTAGACAGATTGTTGGCTACCGTACGCGCTCTCGGGGCCACGCAAGCGACGTGCTCGCTGAAGCTCTTTGAGCCGTCCAGCCACATTCTCAGATACTTTAGATAAGGGGTGGTCGGGATCTTCACACCCGCCTTCTATTCGGAGGCTGAGCCCCTCCGGAGGCGGACCCGACGCTTTACGGTCAAAAAACACCAAAGCTTGCGTCTTCTGTGGGATCACCTCCAGGCCCAGTCTCTCGATGGAGCGCATCACGCAGGCCGCAGCCATGTTCGCCAGCCTGGTTGGCTCCTGCCAGCCCTCCCCGCTGATTCCCAGGTATATATCGTCTGCGTAACCCGAGAGCCAGCATCCCGTGGGGAGGGCAACCCTGAGGACCAGGTCATAGGCTATAATCCAGAGCAGGGGCCCCAATACCGACCCCTGCAGCACTCCGCAGCCCATGATTCTGACCCTCAGGACCCCGTCCCGGTCCGTGTACATGAATCCTCGACTACGGAAGTAGTCCCGGACGACTCTATCAGATAGGAAGGGACGCCCATATCCAGAATTGCTCTCCCAATAACTGGCCAGGGGAGGGATTTGAAGGTGTTCCTCACGTTAAAGGAAACGCCCATCACTACCCTCCCCGCCTCAATGTTGGCCTCCGTGCGGGTAAGGACGCTTTTGATCGCATCCACCGTCGATCTATAATCGAGGCCCCCTGCCGCCGCACGCATGCATTTTCTCGGCCCGTGTTGATCAGCTGCAGGCCGAGACCCGCCGCTTATCCCTGTTATGCCGCGTCGCCGGTTGGTGACGGCTTACGGCAAAACGTTTATTATTTTCGGGATCTCTTGACCTTACGAGTTGGGACTCGGTAGGCACAGGCGGGCAGACTAGAAAGCGGTCGGGTTCGCAGGTGGAACGGGGGTGTAGGCGTCGTTAAATGAACTTCACTTCGTTTTACTTTCTATTGGAGCTTTATTTCAGCGCCCTTTTTACACTCACTAACTTACACTTGTATTTGCCTTTCACAATTACTATAACTCGTACGCGCTTTGTTATAATGTAAACCTTCGCGACACGACTTACGGGAACGGTCACGGGCAGAGTCTCCGGTGTATTACTCTCCGTCGCGGCTTCTTCGACGGTCCCTTATATTGTTTTGAGTTATGCCCTGTCGGCGCTTTTCCGCCGGATTCGACGGTTCCCCGAATAAGGTCGGTCAGTGATCGAGCGCATTCGCAATCTCGCTGTACTCCCGCGGTTCCGCGATTGTCGAAATGCGTTGTCGCACATTCCTATGCATCTCGCAATATTGACGCGGAAGCTTGATGAACTTCCGCGGTTCCGCGAATGTCGAAATGCGTTGTCGCACATTCTTATGCATATCGCAATAGTTCGATTGACGCGGAAGCTTGATGAACTTCCGCGTCCGCGTCGGCGTAAATTGAAGAGTCTTTCGAAAGACAATTTCCTCGAAGTCTTTCGAAAGGCTATTCTATAATTTTATTATAAATAATTTAATAATTACCCGTTGTAATTTTAGATTACAACATCCCTCCCCCGTTAAAAAGAGAAAACGAGGTTCGCGAGTTTTCGCTATATTCTTTAATTTATATTTTGTTGTATACCCATTTCTATATTTTTCCCTTATATATATTTTACATTTTATAATACCCGTGTACAATATTTTGGTATAATCGTTTACTATTCTATTGGAACCTAGTACTTACACTACGTTTTAAAATTGGTTTCGAAAATCCGTATGGTCGAAATGATCTTTCTTCGTCGTATAATGTAAGTGGTGATCGTGGGTTCTTTTTCTTTTTTATTAATACGTATATTACAGTGCTTACTATGGCTAATGTAATTATACCGCTCGCTGTCATTGGGTATATGAATTGTTTTCGGACGTAAAAATTTCGGTCGTCGTCCTCTAGGTCAGTATTCATTTTTTGTATTTGTGTTTTTAATTCTGTCAGTTCAGCTCGGTGCTGAGTTAAATCGTCCGTTGTCTCGTTCCGTAATGTGATCGTTTCATGGTCATATGTAAGCGAAATATTTACTTCGGGTAAGTATGTCTGTCCGAAAGTAGAATTAGAATCGGGCAATAACGCAAAGAGACGTCGATGGTTTTCTTCTCGAGACATGTTCGAGAGAATTCGATGAAAGGAAAAACACCGTATTATTTGTTATTCCTCCTGTTTGTCGTTGGTGAGTCAGAGGTAAAGTCGAAAAGTCACGCGGTGAAATCGACAACAACCAACGGCAATCAGGACAGCATCCGTATAGCGGAGTGCTCCGAGCACGTGCGCTTCCATCACGTGACGCCTCATCCACCAACCCCGTCACGGAAATCGGCGTGGAGACGTGACGTAACGAACTCCGGCCCTATGCAACGCGACGCTACGCGGTGACCGCTAATTTCTTCAAGGGAAGTGAGTCCATTGGTCTGATGGATGAGACGTCACACCGTTTCCGAACTTATAAATAAATGTAGCGCGGTAATGGGAGAGGACTTGTTCGCTCTCGCTCGCAATAGACACCGTCGTCTCTCGTAAAGCAAGTTGTCGCGAATCTGAAACGGGAACTGTGATTATTCGAGAACTTTATTGTAGACTCTTTGTGAAAATAAACTTATCGTTATTAAAATCAGAACTCTGTCAAGATACAAAACCGATCCTCCCGTTCCTGACCAACCATCGCGCGCGCTCAAACAATGTCTCTATATCTGTCTCGTATATTGTCTTTTCAGCTTGTACTGTCATATCGGTTGTCATTAGCTTACACTCCTTTTCCAGCGTAATTTTTCCAGTGTTGTTGATTATCTGCTTCTCCTCGTGTTCATTACATTGTATAAGTATTGGCTGTTCAGTTACTGTTGAATACAGCCAATCGTGTGGTCGTCGTAATGAAATCCACTTTGTTTGTGTTGTAACAGTGTGTCTGAATTTGCACATTTTGTAGTAATGTTGCTGTTGAACATACATTTGTATCTCGCACGGTGCGTTTCCATCTATATGATATACCGGTGTATTTTGTGTGCATACGTACTGTAGATTGGTAGAAGTACACTTTGCCAGAGAATCTTCATCTAAAAGCATGTAGGTCACTCTTTCTTTGTCTACTGCTATTATTTTATTGTCGACTCTTACTGATGTGAGTATATTCTTGCGCGTGAGCACAGGAAATTCAATAACGCTTATTATATCGTAGAGCGGTGGTGTGATTAGGGGAAAAAGTAAGACGGTATATATTTGATTATTCTTGTAGAATGCCTTTATTGTCGTGTGTTTTTCAATCGTAAACCAGTTTTCGAGGTGGACTCTAAACGGGAAATATGATCCCGGTGGCAATTGCTGACTTGCTTTTTTCAACTTCCAGGTGATATCCTCTACTGGCATTAATTTCGGATGCATTGTTCCCTTTCTTATGCATGCCAAATATTCAAGTATGTTCTCGACGTCGCGGATTAGATCTGTGATTACCGCTATGCCAATTTCAAAATGTTCTTTTATTTCGTCTTTATTAAGGTAATCTGTAAATCGTTTTTCTAATAGATTACAATTTCGTTCCATTATCCCTTCTAATTTCTCTATATGCCCTATGGTGGCATTCATCACCTTGATCTGATTCTGCATTACGTGGTGTAACGTTTGTTGATTGTTTCCCAACAGTTGCAATTGCTCGTTGATGCGCTTTTCATCGTTTGCATCCATCGTTCCAAACAATGATTTTGCTATTGAACCTATTCCGTCCACTAATCCCTTCCTTGAGTCTGTCGACGTTTTGTATATTGTGTTGATCTGCGTGAGGATTTTTGTTAAATAGTCTAATTCTCTTCTTGCGATATTTTCAAAGATGAGGCACGTTTCCTTATGCAGTAATTGTAAAATCTTATTATCGCATGTAATTCTTGCTTCCTGTAGATATTTTTCAATTTGCTCGTGTCTTCGATTTAGCGTTGTTAAATAAAATTTAATGACTAACTTCCATGTCTTCCGGGAATAGTGCATTCTTCCAAGCTTCTCGTAATACATCCCTGGGTGATATTGGAATTGTTGGATTTTATAATGTGGTTCCGTTTTTTCTGCTTGGGCTAATGCTTGCCCTCTCCAGCACGCGAGTATTCTGTAACAGAGACATTCTGTTTCAGGGTGTATTTCTTTCTC